TAAAACATATACTAATATTAATAATTAATAAGACTGCCACAAAACATTTTAGCAAAAAACCTAGCAGTTCTTCCCTTATATTTAAGCCAGTTCACAGACCAAAAAGCCTTTACAGAGGACAACTTCATAATGGTCTATAATACTCCCTTGCCTAGACTTACTATGAAACTTGACCTCTGGTCTGCCTCGAATCTTCTAAATTAAGCCTCTAATTTGCAGTATATTACCATGACTGTACAAATCCTAGTCTTCAAACTGTTCCTTGAACAAAGCAATCAGCTGATAGCCCCTGCCTAGAATATTTGATTTATTAGGGTTCATAAATACTCTAAGCTCTGCCACAAAATGTGGAAAGCTGATCTATATAAATTGATCTACTGCAATAAAGAGTTTCATTAAACTCTGTGTTGATTTGTCAGAGCATCTCACTAATCCAGGCCTGACAGTACCAGAATCATATGTATTGGAGTGCAATGAAGCTCTGCAGAATCTGTCCCTGTAGTGCAGATGGACTTCCACTCATGCTCCATCCTATCCTAGAAAGCAAGGCAAGTAGAGAGGAAGCCCACAAGCACTTGTGGAACAAAGGCTGCACCACTGCCAACCTTTGTTCGTGTCACACGCAGCAGCACAAACAAAGGCTGCTGCACATGGCAGAAGAGGGATGCTGCTTGCACACGTGTGGGGTGCGATTCCTGGCAAGCACTGTACAAACCCTGGGCATGCTCACCAGGACCTTTGGATTCACAGCTGCAACAAAGGGTGCCAAGCCCAGGGAATCTGATGCATTCCTACCTCCAAAGCTAATTCCTCACACATCCCTACGTTCATACATTTATTTATTTATCTTAATGTTTATTTATGTACCACCCCATTCCCATAGGCTCTGGACAGTTTTCAAGAAATTAAAGCCAACAGTGAGTAATGTTGACTAAGACAACATGTTAAATAAAACTGACATGTGAACCAATCTGGGAAGGCCTGTTGGAAGAGATACATTTTTCACTCCCACTCACAGTTTGGGAACTCAGGTGCAACTCTCCTGGCAGACCATTCCACAGCTCGGGGTGACCACTGAAAACGCCCTTTAGGTAGCTGACATTAATTTTACAGAAGCAGACTCCTGAGGACCTTAGCTGGCAAGAAGGAATGTATGGACAAAGGTGCTCCTAGAAGTATTTTTGGACCCAAGCCATGAAGGGCTTTAAAGGTAATTACCAACACCCTGTACTGCATCTGGAAATGTATTGGCAACCAGTGCAAAGACTTTAAACTCAGTGATATGTCGCCTCTCTATGATGTCCCAGAGACCAGCCTGGCAGTCATATTTTGTACTAGCTACAGTTTCCAAAGCAGGCACAAGGGTGGCCTGATGTAAAGTACATTGCAGAAATCGAGCCCAGAAGTTACACTACTGTTTTCAGGTCATTCTCCTCCAGAGAGAGATGCAGCTGGCGAATCAGTCAAAGCTAATAGCAGATATGGTTGACCATGGCTGCTATCTGAGCTATCATCTGAAAGGCCGGCTCAAGTAGCACCAAACTGCAAACATGGTCTTTCAGAGAGAGTGTGACCCCATCTAAACTGGGTGATAGTCCTCTAACCTTGAATTTGGACCTTTGAAAGTAAGCACCTCCATTTTGTCTGGATCCAACTTCAATTTGTTTTTCCCCATCCAGCCTATTACCAGCTTTGGGCAGCCACACAGAAAGTAGACACAATCTCTAAAAGAAGCAGCAGATGATGGAAAGGAGAAGTTGATCTGGGTGTCATCAGCATACTGATAACATACAACCCCAGTCCTCCGGAAGATCTCTCCCAGTGGCTTCATGTAGATATTCAACAGCATTGGAGGCAGAAAGCAGCCCTGTGGGACTCCACAAGTCAGCTCGTTTTTAGAGGAGCAGCAGTATCCAAGCATCACCATCTGCAATCAGCCGGAGAGTTAGGAGCGGAACCACTGCAAAGCAGTGCTTCCAATTCTCAACTCCCTCAGATGATTTCCCCATCTTCAAAAAAAGGGGAAAAAAGATGAACCTGGGAAATACATGCCAGTTAGTCTGACATCAGTCCCTGGAAAATTTTTGGAGCAAATTCTTTAAAATTCAGTCTGCAAGCTCCGTGAAGAAAATGCAGTGATTAATAGAAGCCAGCATGGATTTATCAAAAATAAATCCTGTCAGACTAATTTAATATCATTTTTTCACTAGGTAACCTCCCAAACAGGCAGAAAGAACACTGTGGACATAATTTACCTTGACTTTAGCAAAGCTTTGACATAGTGCCCCACAACATTCTGATAAGCGAATCAGCAAAAAGTGGACTAGGCAGAAAAACTATTAGGGTTCATTAGCTGGCTGCTGAATCAGACACAAAGATTATTCATCAATGGCACCTTCTCAAATTGGAGGGAGGTAACTGGTGGGGTGCCACAGTGCTCAGACATAGGCCCAGTGCTCTTCAGCATCTTTATTAATGATTTAGATGAGGCAGTACAAGGAAAGATGATCAAAGGAAGCATAAGGAAGGATAATAACATCTACAGACAATACAGTGCTGGGTGGAATAGTGAGTATGCTGAAAGACAGAAAGGAGATCCAGGGAGATCCTGATAAACTTAAATGCTGGGCTGAAAATGACAGAATGAGATTCAACAGAGACAAGTGCCAAGTCTAGGAAAAACCTAGGAGAAAGAAACCAAATGCATAGACACAAGATGGGGAATATGTGGCTCAACAGAAAAAGACATTGGAGGTATTGTAGATAACAGGCTAAATATGAGCCAAGAATGTGATGTAGCTGCAAAAGAGGAAATGCTAGTTTGGGATCCATTAATAGAAATATTACTTTCAAATCATGAGAAATAGTTGTTCCCCTATATTCCTCACTAGTCAGACCTCATCTGCAATACTGTGTCCAGTTCTGGGCACTAAGATTTAAGATATAGAAAAATTAGAAAGGATTCAAAGGAGGGCAACAAAAATGATCCAGGGTTTGGAAACAATGCCCTATGACAGGGGTCGGCAACCTTTAACACTCAAAGAGCCATTTGGACCCATTTCCCACACAAAAGAAAACACTGGGAGCCGCAAAACCCTTTTGACATCTAAAATGAAGATAACACTGCATATATCATTTTTTACCTTAATGCTATGTATATCTTCATTATGATTTAGCTGTAGCTCTTGTTCAGCCACTAAAAACTGTTATTTTTAATCTTACATTATAAACTAGTAGGACTTCTTTCATATATTTTGAATAGGAAAACAGCTTCCTGAAGAGTCAGTCAGTGCTAAAGGGCTCCATGCATTAAACAGCAAACCCCATAAGTTCGTCAGCAGTAAAAGCAAATGAATCTACCCAAGTATCATTAAACGTTTGGTTTTCTCCAGAAACTTCTATTTGATTTATCCAAGCGCTGTGCCGGCACAGGCCACGGATCGGCCAGTGGCGGCCACGGATCGGCAGCGGCTGTAATGTGAGCGACGGAGCCACAGCAGAGGCATTCAAGAGCCACATGCGGCTCCAGAGCCGCGGGTTGCCGACCCCTGCCCTATGAGAAGAGACTGACAGAACTGGGCATGTTCAGCCTAGATAAGAGAAGACTGAGCAGGGACATGATATCACTTTACATATACCTCAAAAGCTGTCACAGAGAGGAAGGTCAAGATCTCTTCTCACTGATACTAGAGTGTAGAACACAAAATAACCAAGTTGCAACAACCCAGATTCAGGCTAGATATCAGGAAAAGATTCCTCACTGTCAGAGTGATACGACAGTGGAACTGGTTGCTCGGAGAGGTGGTGGGCACTCCCACACTAGAGACATTCAGGACAAAACCAAACAGTCATCTGAGTGGGATGGTGTAACTTGGCTGTTCTGCAACAGCAGGGGTTGGACTCAATGGCCTTCATAGCCCCTTCCAATTCTACTAGTCTATGATTCTGCGATCTAAAAGGATACTATGGTCAATGGTATTGAAAGCTGCTGAGAGATCCAACAGACCAACAGGGACATACTCCCCTTTCAATTCTGCAACCAAAGCAGTCTGAACTCCATGTCCCACTCTGAAGTCACTCTATAGCATCAACTGCACACCCAGCTGTATGCATGGGTCCAGACACCAACTGGAACAGGCCAAAGGCTGCTATGGTCTACATGGTGGCACCAGACAAACTGGAATCAAAAGCAACATGGAAATCCTCCACAATTAATCCCCACATGTAAGCCTTCAAAGTAAATGATATAAAAAATTTCAGCTGATGCACAAAGGGCTTACAAAAGAAAAGAACTATACCCCTCCCCCTGGGTCACAATGGAGGTCATTATTTAAGGCAGGAATGGGAAGTTTGTAACTCTCTAGATATTGTTGGACAACATCCCCCATCGGCCCTATCCAGTATAGCTAATGGGGGATTATGGAAACTGCAGTGTGAAGTCGGCCACCCCTGTGTTATAGTAACAGACACACTGATGCCATAAGGAACAGAAATTTATTTGGAAGAGAAAAGGATGTGTATTTATACTGAAAAAGTTTTATGGTACTTTAAATATTAGTAGATTTATATGTTTGGATTTTAAATATACATTTTGGTCTTATATATAGCTTTGGGCCTCTGAGGAGACAAGTTGTTACAGACATACAAATATGTTTATTGAATGCTCTGGTCAGGGATCTGATATGGCTGGACAACTAGGTTGATGCATGCCTGTCCTATCAGGCCATTTTTGGGAGAGTTCCTCACCTGTAATACTGCTGGTAGGAGTCCTTCATAACTATACACTAGGTGATGTGCTTTGCTCTATATAGTAGTTAAATGTCCTGATTTACAACAAGTAATCTATATCACAGTGGAAATATATTGCTTTTCTTGTAAAAATAAGGAATAGCCTTTTAAATGTTTCCAGGCTTCCAAAGAGGGAAACATATTGTAAAATAGCTTCTTGTTCACTAATCTACCCCCTCCTCACAAAAACCCACCAAGTGGTCTCTGCTTACCTTTCCTTCGAACCTGGCAGTGCCCCCAAGTGGTACACGGAGATTCCTTGGAGGTAAGGTAAATGCCGGTGCTTCCGTTGGAGCAGGAGGTCTCAGAGCGGAGTGGTCCAAGGTCAAGGTGGCTTTGGAGATCCTAGTAGATACTAGTTTCACATCCCCCATGTTAAAAGCTTCAAAGGCAAATAAAAACAAGGAAGTAGACATCTTAGTTACTAGTTCTCTGTTACTCTCAACCCTCTTAAAATAATTATTGCCTATCTCCAGATGCTCAAATCTCTCCCATAAATCTGTTGTATTATAAGAGGAAAGTCTTTACCCGTCCAAGGTTGTAATATCAAACCTACAGGACATGGGTATTATAGCTCTGGAGTCTTCTTAAACTGTAAAAACAGACCATTATACAAATACAACATGATAAAAAGCAGAAAAAGACATCCTTCCCCCCTTGCAGGAGAAAAGCTGGGGAAATGACTAAACAAAAGAAATGGTAAGATAGTGACTATTAACTACTTAAAAAAAGAATCCAGCAAATGAAAATGAATTACAATATTCATTAATCAGTTACACTACTGAATGAGCTACTTGTAACTGTAATAAAAAATGTAATTGTCTAGACAAAATGTTTGGTTTTGAAAGTGGACTGTCTCCGAGATTCATATAGCTTTCCTGGACAGTGCAGACAAGAATTAAATGTACTGTAAACATTTTTGCAACAGCAAGCACAATGCAGAAGGGAAATGAACCCAACCTTGGAGTTATTAGTACAGTCTTGTATTCACTGTGCATACTGACTTCAAGAAAATTGTTTTGGAACCACCAATGCAACTACATTTAGAGAAATACCTCTCTCTTTCTCTTGTGGACAGGGAACCTCTTTCAGCCCGAGATCCAAATTCACTTTCACAGAGATCCTGGCCCAGGGAAGGGGGTCACATTCCACTGGTGGTGAAGCTTAGGGCAAAGGGCTGAGACCAGAATAATAAAAAAGCCCACCTTATTTTAGCATAAAGCTCTCACTGCCAGAGACAGAACTTTAGCAAAGGTGTTCTTTTTAGTAGGTGGCAGAACTGTGGCAATACTAGGAAATCCCCAAATGGGCCCTCAAGGGATCCCTGTCTGGGCCCCAGGAGGACCAGACTTGTTCCCGGACCTGAAGTTCCCCACCACTACTCCAAACCTTAGTTGTAGTTTTTAACCATGACAGAAACACATATAGCCATCCCGAGACCTTCTATAGGGGATGGGACAGAAACACTTTTAATTAATTAATTAAGCCAACTATTATTAAGGCTGGACACTACAGGTATGATGAGAAAGGCAGCCCAAAAGCTTGCTTGTTTTATGGTACAGTCTGACAATGATAAGTCTGCAACAGACCAGCGGTAGCTACATGGCAATTCATAATCTACGATCTTCCAGGAACAAATGCTGAGGGGGCAACACTTCCAAGCATAAGTAGGAAACGCTTCATACAGATTCTGCAATATCATTAAGAAGGTCAATCATGGAATTTTATGAGGTTTAGATATGAACTATTAAGGCTGGGGCAGTTACTATTAATAACCACGCTGTCCATGGAACAGCTCAGAAATGTATAAGAAACAAGTCAAGGGTCACCTTGATGTCACCATTAGTTGACTTTTAGATAGCTATAGTCATCAATACAAAAGTGAATAATTAACATGGTGCAATCCCATAATTAACAAGAGCTCATTGAGAGAGGAATCCAGAGAGAGGAATTCTGCAGCTGTGCTGTGAATGTCCCCCTCTGTCTGAAGGCACCCACTGACCCCTGATGTAGCCTCACAGGCTTTCTCTGAGCTACTGCACACCTTGGGGCATGAGGGTTCCACAACAACCACAAGCTGTTAACACTAAGCTCTTACAGAGGGGACATGCAGGTGAGGGCAAGCATGCTTAAGGATAAAGATTTAATCCTGAACTGTGACAGGCAGGAATGCAGTTCAAATTCTCCACTACAGGACAGTTCAGTATTTTAGATAAAATACTGTGCTCTCCCACCCATCAGCTGCCAATTTTTAAAAATCCATTACCCATGGTTGGAGACATACCCATGAGGTAAACTTTATCCATAAGCCTACATACACGTACAGCGCCAGAAGGACAGGTACCATGGGACTTTCAATGGAGAAAAAAATCCAGAATCAATATCCGCAAATAGAATGGATTTTTGAAAGATTCAAAGTCAGGATCCTCCCATCATAAGCCAGAATTCGAAAGTAAGGAGCCAGGGAAACAACACAGGGGAAAATGAGTTAAATGTTCTGCCATGCTCGGTTTCTTTAAAGAAACAAAGCAATCACCTGGCAAGTCTATTGCAGCATTTAGGGTTTCCCCAGATATGCAAAGTAGTCACTTTCCCAACAGCATCACTGTCACAACAGATGCAAAGAGACCAATTCTCTCATGGCCAAAGAACTCTTTCTCCTGTGTGGTTTACTCCCAGAGAACTGCTTGCAGGATCACAATGAAAGCACACTTTTTTCCTACAATTACTCACCAAGCAGGTTTTAAAATTAGTTCTGCTTATCTTTATTCTATTTTCTATGTTTGTGGTATGTCATTACTTTGTATTTACATAGTTAGGACAAAGCCCAGCACCCTGCACATGCTGCTACTCAGCTAAATCAGTCACAGCTGGAATAAAATTTTGCTCCTTGCTTGGTAACACAGTCAGGAGACAGAACGCATCTGGAACAGTGTAATTTGGTTTCTGAATGCTATATGCAATTTTGTAATGATTTTATCCTGTTCAAATAGACATTATTTTTAAAATATAACACCCAACCCACAAAGTATTTAGATAATACTGTCTTCAAACAAGGATTGTAATTGCAATGCAAAACACAGCATAACATCCAAACCAAAAAAGAAAAGAAAATGAAAAAGACCCTGATACACCACATAACGATGTACTTAGCGCCTACAGTATCAATTTCTTTCACATAATCCTTTCTAAAAAGCACACAAATCCTTACAAATTCTCACAGTATGAACCATAATCTCTCTAATACCAAGGGAGACTGAATGTATTGCAAGCATTATTTTTGGTCAGGAAATGTCCCCACCCCCATCCAACCCCACCATCTTTATACTCTTTCCTTCTCTTTCCACCACTTCACACAAAAAATAAAGGCAGGAAAAGAAATGATTATGCCTAACTAGCTGCTCTCACCATAAATTTCTTGTAAGAGGTAAATATGTACAGACCAGCTTCCTCCATAGCTGTTTAATTACATTATGTTTCCTTTCCCCAGGTCAGAAAAAGCCAGAGTGGGAGCCCAGATGTAGCCAGCATGCACAAGTTGAAAAAACAAAAAAGAGTATTTGACTTCATTCCAGTTGCACTGAAACAAACACCGCACTTTGAGATTCAGCCACTATAGTCCAGGCTGCCCTTAGTAACCTTAGAACAGGAGCTTTCCTCAACCTGGTGCCTTTCAGGTATTTGGGACATACAACTCCAACAGGACCAGCCAGCATGACCAATGGTAAGAGATGATGGGAGTTGTAGTCCAAAACATCTGGAAGGCACCAGGCTGAGGAAGGGTGCCTTACCTAAATAGCTGGGAGGCTTATTCAGCTGGAGAGCCCCTCTTCCCAAATTAGAATTCTCTGTGGCCACTCAGGATATTTTCTACCTTTAAGTCTGCTGCTGAATCAAGAAACAAGACAGCAGTGGTGTTTTGCACCTTTGCTGCCTTCTCTTGCATCATATGCCCCCTTCCCCTCCTGCTATAATGAGCAGGACTCTAAAAATGGCACCTTGATGAGGGAGCCAAGAATTAACTGTTCTATATTGGCAATACCTAGCCCAGGAGTGGGCAACTTGTGACCCTCCAAATGTTTTGGCCCATGACTTCCATGATCCCTCAATGTGCTGGCTACAGATGATCAGGTCAAAATACCAACAATAGCCCACCACTGCTCTAGCCCCTTCAATCACAGAATCAACAACTCTCAATGGACCAGGGCAGGGGGAATTGTTATTGTTATTACCACTTTTCACTGCTGAAAACAACATGTCAAGCAATTCAGTGTCTCCAGTGGTACCATTTTAATTACTGCCATTTTACAATTTATACAACCTGATTTGTCTATCCAGTTTGATTGCCCCGCACTTAGACTGGAATGGAGGTCTAACCCATTTAATTATCTAGCTCAGCAGAGGCAAGTGCCTATGCAGTGTATTTCAAACCAGTTTTATTGAATAGTTCCTCAATCAGACACATCTGTATGTTTAAGCAGACACAGAGGCTGATCCAAACTGTCAGGAATTCACTGAACTGACTTGTCAATAAGGCTCAATTGGAAATTTTCTATTCTATTGTCATGGGCATTTCTGATTGGTTTAGAGTATTGTTTTGCATATGAAGACATCAAGATGCTATTATGTTAACATTATCTGGAAACCTAATACTGTGCATGTGCCTGGAAGGTTATAAAAATGAACATGGGCTGTGATTTTGTAGTTGGCGGTGAAGGCCACTACCCGGTAGCAAGCTGTTGTAAGTAACTACAGGAGGCCTGGGCAATCTCACCAATAAAAACACTGGGGTTCAAGCCAATTCAATCTTCTCTTCCCATTCTTGCCATTGGGAAGGAGACTCTGACATGCTCCTATTGAAGTGCTTTCACTTTCCAATATTTGACCACAGCAATATCAAAAGGCCATTTTTGCTCTCCTAAATTAGGCTCCTGAAACCAAGAAATCTTGTGGGAAAGCTGGAGTAGATTTGTATGGGAAAGGATGTCTGCTTAAAAGAAAAACCCACCCTGAGTCAATGCAAGTGCAAGTTCTGGTACTAAATTACTGAGCATGTAGTCAGAAACATCTTGTTCTATGTCTGCCTTCCTGAGTCACTATTTTGCACCTGATCCTGGCTGCTGGACCTCAGGTTTCTAGGGGAAAACAAAGGAAAACCAACAAGCAGGAAGTGTGCCCGGTCCTATTGCATAAGTATGATCTGAAAAATCTTATCTGAATGGCAGCATAAAGATTACACTAAATGAAATATGACTACTAATTTACCTTCCTGCACACCATCACGTAACTTAGAACAACCACCTACGAGTGCAGTTGAAAGTACATTACTGTCTTTCACACATGCACATCAACAGCAGGAGACAAGCTTAAAAGAGTCCATCT